TATTTTCGTAGTACAAAGAAGCCATGCATATTTCTTTCTCTAATGTATGCAGGTATTCATGAGGATATGAATAGTGCATTTTGTGACCTACAGTGACCCTGTTGGTGAATATTCTGAGAAACAGTCATTTTGGAAAATGACTTGTATAGATGAATTGTCATCATGTTCTTTTCCAATTGCCATGTTATATTTTGGTAGGAGACCAAGCTTTTCCTCCTCTGTAATGTATATATAGACAATCAAACATAAATATATTAATATAGAATAAGACAAGAGTTCCAAGTTCTTAGCTGTTGTACATAAACTGGAATAAATAGCAGCTGTATTTGGTTCTTTTGGTTGTAGTAGGTTGTCATCTTACTGAAATAAACAAGGTTTAGTAGCAAAATATGATGCCTTTTCATTGAGATTTCAGTCCTGGAAAAGGCTAGTTACTGATTTTGGGGGTCGTAGTTCAATTAATAAGGCCTCTGGGGAAGGAAGAATGGGAAGGTAAATTGGAAAGAAAAAGAGGAAACATTAATAAGATAAAAGCTTAAAAATAATGTTGAGGCACAGTTGACTAGTGAAATATCTTTCTTATTTCCTATTGAAACTCCAGTCATCTGAAGAAGCGGGCTGTGCCCACGAATGCTCGTGATACCATCTACATGTTTTGTTAGTCTATAAAGTGCTACCAGACCATTTGTTATCTTTCTTATGTTCATTCTGTAGTAATGAATAGAAAGTTTGTGGTGCTTTTGAGCTGCATTGTTTCCAATAGGAAAATTCACAAAAGTAAAAGTGTAAATTTCTCTGTCACTTTACTTGCCTGTGGCAAGTGTGTGCTTGTTTATAATAGAGAAGTGAATTCAATGATGGTAATGGAGAGCAAGTAGAATTTGTACTATACCTGGATAAATACACTGTCATTATGATTTTGTAGGATGCATATAATCAGCATCTCTGCTTCAGTTACAGAGGACAGACAGCATGGTTTACACTCAGACCTCAGTGGTTCAATTTAATAATCAGCATTACCCAGAAAAGCCCCGGTAGTGTGACTTCATTGTTTTATGTAATATAATGTTATATATTCATATAGAAACAGTATGGTGGGGAAGTTTGTATATATTATTCTCACAGGAATAGAACTGACCGATATTTTTTATTTTATCAACCACAGGTGATAATAACATAGTAAAAGCATCCTGGTTGGTTAATAGTTAAATCATGCCATGTTTTAATATCATGTGCTGCAAAGAGTCTCAGGAAACACATTAAAGAGCCACTTGTGGCTTTCCAAGTCTCAGTCTGAGTATCACTGGAACTCCTAAACATTGTTATTTATTTGAATTATTGTAGCTCCTTGAAATCCTAATAATAGTAGGGATGTTAAAGACTAGTCTACAGGATAGTCAACTAGTTGCTCCCCCCCCCCCCTCTTGCTGCCTCTATCAGAGGCAGCAAGAGGGAGGAAAGGGGGGATACTTCAAAGAGGCAGCGCCGCACAACTGATCCCGACCCTGGGCTCCATGTGGCGCTGCCACTTTGAAACATCACAGCAGCATTTCAAAAGGGCAGCACCACATAGCTGATCCCGACCCCAGGCTCTGTGCGGCGCTGCCCCCTTGAAACACTGCTGCAGCGTTTCAAAGCAGCAATGCCGTGTGGAGCTTAGGGTCAGCTGGGGAATCCCCAGCTGATCCCAGGCTCCAAGCCACTTTGAAATGCGAGTTGGAGCCCGGGGTCAGCTGGAGAGTCCCTAGCTGATCCTGGTTCCCACTGGCATTTCAAAGCAGCAGCTCCGCACTGAGCCGAGGGTCAGCTCCCCACCTGACTTCCGGGCTCTGTGTGGTATTTCAAAATGGCAGCGCCGCTTGGGGCCTGGGATCAGCTGGGGACTGCTCAGTTGACCACAGGCTCTGTGCTGCATGCCAGCTTTGAAATGTACAAGAGTCCCCAGCGGTGGTGGTTGTGCATTTCAAAAAGGGAGTGCAGCATGGAGCCTGGGGCCAGCACTGGACTCTGAGTCCCCTGTTGGCCCTCGGCTCCACACAGCATTCCAACTTTGAAATGCACAAGAGCGCCTGCTGGGGTTCTTGTACATTTCAAAGGTGGAACATGGAAGTGCCTATCAGTCGAGTAGTCAGTGGAAATTCCATCTAGTACTCGACTAGTAAATTAATCACTAGTTAACATCCCTAAATCATAGATGACCATTTTTTGTGTCAGGATCTTAATAAGTGCAATTGTGTACTCCTGTTTACTTACATAATTTCCTACTATGAGTGTTGTGAGGATGACTCAGCAAATGTTTGTGCAGAATTCAAAGTGCAGTACTTTAAAGACACAGATCACTGTGTGAGGACTATTATTAATTATTGTTAGATTTCAAACAGATGTTTGTACTTCCTTGACTATTAATCACTGTGCTGGAGGCTGTTGTGTGTTTTTTTTCCGTTTGGTCTATTGTTGGTCTCTCAGGTTTTCATACATATTTGATCAGCTCCAATCAAACAACAAATGAAGATGTAAGTTCTTCACTGCATGATGTACAGTAGTTGCATACCTGTTTTCATTTTGTAAATATTAAAGAATTGTTGTCTAATTTTTCAGTTTTTCTTGTAGATCCCACTGAGTAGCCCCTGAAAAAAACCCTCTGTGCATATTTGTATGGGTTTTTATTGGTGAGAAAGGAGGTGACCTGGTAACACTTGATGCAGTGACTACTGTTTTTTTGTTATTCATTAGATGTTTAGTGCACCTGCCCTTAGTTCTAAAAACTTGAGAATGTTTTCACATAGTATGAAGCTTAGCTACTTAATAACCATCCACTTCAAACTTGCAGGGGAATTGTAAGTTATAAAAATAATTGTAATCCTTGTTGACATTTGTTGGGAAAATATTGATTGGGTTATTAAACCCAAAGTTCAATACAGCCCATTGGACGAGTTTCTTGGAACACAAAACAGACACGAGAAACAAAACAAAAACAACACAATGCAAGTGAAAGCCAAGCCTTCAAAGTTTCTGTATTTTATACCCTTCTGTTCCATGAAAAAGTATCCAGCTGACTTTAGCATCCTTTTTCCAATGTTTTCCACTGGAACACTACATAATCTATCATTCAAAACCAACTCAGATTTGAACAAAATTTCAAAAAATATCAATCAGCATCAGTCTAGTTTTGAAAACAAGTTCCTTCATGTGTCTTCTCTGTCTTTGGCTTTCTGCTCTTTAAACTAAAATGTGCTCTGGCAAATGAGGACAGGTTCTCCCAGTAAGGAAGAGATCATTAGTTCAGAGATCAGTCTTATCGACTTTTAGATTCTCTGTTCCGTATAGGGAATTATTTCATTGGCTCCAGTGTCACAAAAGTTGATTTAACTAACTGTGGGGTCAGATATTTAATGTCTCTCCTAACAAAACGATTATGAATTTTTGAGACAAAAGGGTAGAATAAAGCTGACTAGCAGGTGATATAAGTTCTTTAGTTTTGCCATTTAATCACAATATACTTACTGACTTAAGCTTTTTGAAGGAATTACTCCAAATTTACTTTTTATTTTTATTTATTTTTGTAGATTTTCATGATTGATTGATCACCCCAAACCTAGCTCTTTTATGTCTGTCCAATATATTTTTATTATTGGCTAAGTTGTAATGGTGTATTTTACAAAATACAATGAATAAAGCTGCAGGGCAGAGCATTCTTCAGTAATAAATATATTTGCAAATAGCCAGAGACTGAAGAATATGCACCATATTTTTTAAATAAGACAGGTGAGATGAAATAGCAGTCCTTATCTGTTTCTGCATTGGGGTCAACTTTGGCTATCTAAACAGAACTAATTGTCTTCCATTTTGTTAAATAAAATACTTTCCATGGAAAACCCTAAGATAACAGGGAATTATGACAGTGCAACATGCCTGTGCTTAAGTAAACTAATTAGTTATTTTAAGCAAAGGTATCATTTTTTTCAAGGCAAAATAGTCAGGACCCTTCCTCAGAGTTACTAACAAAATTTAACTTGCCTCTTTCCCATGAAAAGCCTGAATTATTCAGTCTGTATTCATGGAACTCCCTAGACAGCAGGAGACATGAAATTCATTCTCCCACCCATGTACGGGCTACAGGTTTGCTAAGTAATCACTAAATTGAAATTACTGGGCTGACATTGAAATAGTGTATGTGGTTATGTCGTAGAGATTCTCCCAAAGCCCTTTCTGGACTATGAGGTTAGTATAGACATGTATTTTGCTGAATGCAGATGATACAGAAAAAATTAAAATATGCTTTTCCTCTTTTCTTCTCCAAATCATAAATCATGATTAGCATATTTGTTGTTGCTATGATTACCCTTAATTTGCCCGAGCAATTGTATGTGACATAGTATGTGATACTTTATGTTCATGTCTCTTCAGATTAAAGGATCTTGGTCAAATAAAAGAGGAAAAGAGAACTACAATCCGTACAGTTATGGCAACATCTTTACTAATTGTTGTGCTGCGCTTTGCGGGCCAATCTCTCCAAGGTAAGAGTAACTAAAAGTATTGGTTTTGTGTAGGATGAGACCACAGAATTACTGATCTAAATTTGGCTTGTGATATCTTACTTAAGTTTGCTCAACTAAAACAGGGCTTCATTGTACGATTTAGTGAAACTGATCTTTTTTAAGATGAAGGTTATCAGCAACTTGCTGATTCTATTTTGTGGGTGAGTAGGCAATTAGATCTCGTACAACAGTTAAACTATAGGTTCACACACTGGAAACATAAACTTGTTTGGTGGTTGTTTAATTTTTCATTGCAGCCTTTATAGCTGTTAGATGTGAGGAACACTAAGCAGAAAAATGTAATTATTCTTTCACTTTTATGTTATATCCCTTTTACTTTGAGCTCACAGCATCCACACAGCAGAGTTGCAGCACAGCACATTAGTGCACACTGCTGTTCACTCTCCTTTAGTCCAAACTACTGGGCAATGTCAGCGAGTTTTAAGTCTAGTTTATTTAGAAGTATATAGAGTCATGTACATAGATATTAGCTGGCAAAATCAAAGTGCAGCCTATAATACACAGCGTGATGATGCTCTTCTCAGCTTTCCAGCAAAGAGCATTTTGTTCAAGTTGTGTGTCACTCACGCAGTTTCCTCTATTTTTACCTATCTGTGTTCAGTTTCTATACAAACCTATCTGAATTGAGGGCAGTGTCTACGCTAGACTTCAGTTTTTAAAATTTCCTACTTATTCCTCTGGGTTCAGCAATGTCTGTGATCCCTAGAGTGAAGGCTCTGATGTGGACAGAGATAAAGTAGATTGTTAAAACTACTGGTAAATTTCCTACACTAGTGTTCCTTTCTATTTCTTTCAAGGTAATTCGTTGTTAAATAAATTATAATAGATTCATACTTCTGGGTATCAGCCTTTGGCAACAAATTCAGATTCTGAAATGAAGAGAAGATAACGTAGACACTTCAGAAGAGACACAGATGCAGAGTGCACTATGGGGGTCTTGCAATTTGTCTTTCCCTCAAGGGTTCCAAATTCTTTTTTCATTTGCTTGTCAGCATCCAAATTTTACAGCATTTTATAAAATTTGAGGCAGAAACCCAAAAATGTTCTTTTCTCGTAATCCACGGAGGAAAGCAATTACAAGTAAAACATTTTCTTTTGGTATTGGTAAGTTGACGTGAAGTCACATTTCTCAGATCTGAGTTACAGGTTATATTTGACTGTAGTGATGATGCATTAAGATTTGATGTAATGTTGAAACCTATTTTTATTGGGAGGGGGTATTACTAATCAGAAATTTCTAACAATCTTGTGGGTTTTTTTATTATTCTGTAGTCTAATTGACAGAAGAGGATTTATACAGCCAGATACACCACAGCCAACAGCACCATCAAATGGCATTACTATGTATGGGGCAACACAGTCTCAGAGCAACATGGTAGGAACCATCCCATAGTGTTGTTCATCAGGATCCTTGTGAATGTTTCCCTTCTCTGCTTTCATGTGAACTAATCAAGTAATAAACTAACTGGATACAGCTACCACTCATTTAGGAGGAATTATTCATTATTAACTGCAATAGGCTTATACTGTTAAAAAATCAAGTTTTTATCAATATTTATATAATGATAGTTTTTACTACAAGTGAAATCCATTGGCTATTGAATATAGAGTGTCACTTTGACATATCCTGTTGATACCTGCCTTGCTTTGAACTGGACTAATCAATTATCACGGATGTACCCTAATTCATCAGTTTTTCAGAAGAGAGTATCATTTGGTTTCGTATTCGTCTCACATACTATTTCTTCCTTTGCCTGTGCAGTGCAGATTTGTCTAGACAGACACGTATGTAATAGAGTACAGGTTAAAAAGACAAGGTGTTTAAGATGGAGTAGGGGTGCATTTTGAGGAGGAGAGGGATATTGAACTTCTAATGAACAACAGGCAACCTCAATACCATATTCAAAACTTTAAAAAATCTTCCAAAAATGTGCCAATGGTTTCTGTTGTGCCCCTTGATGGCAAAGGACCTCACATCAGGAAAATATGACTTCCAGCGCCAAGGAGAAGAGAATAATTAGCAAAGATGTCTACTTCTGACCTGTAGTTCTTCCAGTATGTAGATTGTGAGGATTCATTAAATGTATGGACTCAATGCACTTTTCCCTTTCCTCAAAGGGAAGGGAGATAAATAAATTCTAACCCAGCCTTCTAGCATAATTTCAGTCTGCCTTTTTAACTGGAGAAGGCACATTTTTCATTACTTTCTGAGCCTTACTATCACTTAAACTTTTATAAAGATTCTGCTGTAAGATTTTCAAATCGTTTCCATTTACTGCTGCACATGTTTAGTGGAATGGTTATCAGTTTTCTTTATGTTAATTTTAATAGGTTTTAGTATTCCTTACAGTTTTAACAAAAAGTCTCTGAGTGACTTCAAGAATAATCACAGTATTTAATCTTAAACTTTTTGTCAGCTACCTACAGGGCAGGCCATGCTAGGTCTCAGTACAAGTTCTATTCAAGACAATTACCTCAAATTGTAAAATCCTGGGAATATATTAAACTATTTCAGGATGGCCTCAGCCAAATTTCAGGAGTAATTTAATATATCTTTCCTTAGACTCCATCGAGTACTCTTATGTACGGAGACAAATTAGTTACAATAGATCTGTCATATTGTACTGTTATTTTGTAACAACTGTATGGGCATAATGTGGAGACTCTTCCAGCAGATCTCTTTGATCATCCTAGTCCATCTATGCATTTAGGCTTTGCTTTCAACATCAAGTTGTTAGAACTCTCTATGACATAGACATGCCCATAATATAGTTTATATGCTTCAATTCATGCCTAATTCAATTAACTAATACAGTCGTATTTGTGCACTCAGGACCTCTGAAGCTGGTGAAGTTGCTAAGACACACAGGTTTTATAAAAATAGAATACTCATCACCTACCAGATATTTGTGATCAAATAGTGTCAACAAAGTGACTTTGCAGCTTTCATATTTTTGAAAAAGTGGAAAGATCTTGTAACGCTGATCATGAAATAAACTAAGATGATCAAATGTAAAAAGGGAATTGAGTCAAATCAATAAATTCTGCTGTCTAACGAGTAATAGCAAACATAATATTATAGTGTGAGGGACTGGAATTAGATCAGCAAATGCTCTAGGACTTTCTTTATGGTGGAATGAATTTCAGTGGATCTGAAATGTGAAATACATGTGATGAAAATAAGCCACAGAAGGGAGCATAGTCACTTAGAACACTTTATGACAGCTGTCCAGCCTTCATGCTTGAAAATGACTTCACAGGGGTCACTTGGAAAATTGAATACGATATGCGTTTACACACAGAAATATTTTTAGAGTCTCTGACATCTTGTTTCTGAAGATGCTATACCTTCAAGTCCTAGAACTTAAAGGTCAAAGACCTATGTATCATATACAAGTTATGGGAAGATTTTCAAATGCACAAATGGGAGTAAAGTGCCTGCCTTTCATTGGCTTATAGTGAGAGTTAATTACTTAAGCAAAGTTTGAACTTCCAAAAATCTTCTCTGGCTTTTGTTGAGCTATTCAGTATCCTGATCTTTAGCACACTGTAATATCTCTTAGGGTGTGTCTAGACAGCATAGCTTATTTCAAATGTATTTCAAAATAGCTTATTTTGAAATTTAGCACCAAATTTCAAAATAACACGGGGTTTTAAGACATTCCTTAACCCTCGGGGAACGAGGGTTTCAGGGATGCCGGAATAACATGCCTGTTATTTTGAAATCTATTTTGAAATAAAATACACGTGTAAAAGATAGCTATCTCGGGATACCAGAGGTATCCCGAAATTGCTCAGCTGTCTAGATGTACCCTCACCTATCCAAAATTGTTTAGAAGAGGGGTTTTAACTTCCTTTCTGTAGCCAGTCTCATAGGCTAGAGACAGAATAGTATATATTTGTTGCTTCTCACAGCTCCTTTTCCACCCTTCGTTTACCCATCATATTCCTTGTCCTCCGCTGCATGCTCTCATACCTTCCAATGGACCCCATTCTTGACCTCAGTCTCCTCCTTGGGTAAGCCCTGCTTACTTGACAGTTATTCAATGCTTCTATGAAGCCTAATCCCAGCAAGGAGGTGAGTTTGCTCACCAAACTCATCTCCTGCCTGGAGTTAGGTCTCTATGCTTTTTAGACAATGATGTTATGGAGTTAATCTGCTCCCCTTTCATAACAGAATCTGTCTCCAGGTGCCCTCTGCAAAATAGGAAATGAAAAAAGGCCTGTAGGTGCTGGTGGAACTACAGCTGCAGGAACAACAAACTCAGACTGCAGTCCAGATCGAATCTGGTTTGCAACTCAACAACAAATGTAGATCCTGGGACAACTGTTTCAGGGGTTTATTGACCCAGCTTTATCCAGCCAACCTACTAGTAAACCTCAGACTTTCCTAAGCAATCCAAGAGCATAATGATGCAGAGCCTTTTCTGATCACTCTTGAATATATAGCTGCTGCAGCTCAGTAAGAGAAGTGATCCTGACCTATGTGTTTTTGACAAACAGAAAAGACACATAGTGAGTTCTTAAATCAGAATGTGCTAATGATTTTGGGACTGTTTGAAGTAGGGATGTTAAATTTCAATTAATTGACTAATCAAATAGTCGATGCAATTTGCATTGATTATTCAATTAGTCAATATGGCGCCTCCGCCTTTGAAGTATAGCAACAACCTTTGCTACACTTCAAAGATGAAAGCGCAGAGGGGCAATCTCCTGCTGTCCCTATGCTCCCCATGGTGTTTCAAAGCGGAAGCATTGCATGGAGCCTGGGGTCAGCTGGGGACTCCCCCACTAACCCCGGACTCCATGCGGTGCTGCCACTTTGAAATGCTGCGGGAATCCTGGCATCAGGTTCCCCACAGTATTTCAAAGCGGCAGCGCTGCATGGAGCCCAGGATTAGCGGGGGAGTCCCCAGCTGCTCCCATGCTCCAGAGGGCCCAGCCACTTTGAAACACTGTGAGCAGCCTGGGGACACCCCAGCTGCTCCAGGCTACACATGGTGTTTCAAAGCGGCAGCACCCCCTGTAGCCCAGGATCTAACCCCAGGCTCCACATGGCGCTGCCTCTTTGAAGCACCTGCACTTCTCCTCCCCCTTTTGTTGCCTCTTTCTGATAGTCAGCAAGGGGGTAGAAGTGACTAGTCGACTAGCATGTCGACTATCCGATAAGCTCTAGTTTGAAGGCTGCTACCTTGAATGGATTGTGGGTTTTGGAGAAGAAGTTAGGTACTTCAGCCTTTATCTGGTGATTTATGGACTGAATTCAAGACACAGATGTTAATAGAATTAGCGAATTTGATAATATTAGAACATTACATGGAAAGTCTTCCTGGGAGGGTACAGATTTCATTGCACCAGATTTTGAGCACTAGTTGTCCTTACTAGGAAAAGCTATGATCAGCAAGAAGATTAGAAAAAAGACCCTTTATAGAGATGACCAAAGACATGTCTATATACTAAATATGGAAAGAGTTTCTCTCCACAGCACGACAACCAGGTGGTTCTGAAGGAATAACCACGCTGAAAGAAGATGCTTAGGCTCAGTCACATGTTGTAGTGGAGATGTTAGTTTATTTTTTTAAGGCCCTACTTTAGGACTTGAGGTTATGTTTGGGCACTAGCTCTGCATCAGAGAGTTCAGTTAAGCTCATATACATACAGCCATGGATCATTGTGCTATTTTAGAATAATTACAGGTGCCATTTTTAAGAGGTTATTTGGTAGAAACCTGTATCTAGTGTATCTCTTTGCCCCAATATCATTCTGAATTTGCATTAATTTCAGGGTATACATTCTAATTAATCCACGTACTGACCTAAATATTCTTCTCTGTTCTTGAACATTTATGGGCAGGTTTTTTAATGACCCTCTTTATTCGCATTTATCTGCACATTTTGCTCTCTTATTCCTCAACCCTTCAAAGACTTCTGTGGGCTTCACTTTTATGTACCCTGAGTAGTCCCATTGAACTCAGCAGGACTAATCATAGCACGTAAAGTTAACCGCTTGTGTTAATTTGTAGAAGTAGGCCATAAATCTTTCCACATAAGTCAAGCCCTTGTACCCACTTACCATTTTTCCCTGGTCTGTTTTGTTTTCCTGTTGTTGACCGTGATCCCAGAAGTGGATGTAGAATTCCAGAGGCAGTCCCAGCAAACCACACAGTGAATAATTATCTGCCATAATTCAGTGATCACTCATCTAATTTCCTCTGCATTATCACTTTTATGTCTCCCTCATTTTTTTCCAATATGAATTTAGAATAATATCTCCATTGACTTGCATCTTTACAGGCAGAATCTCATTTTAATTCCAGTTACCATCTTTGATTCTGTCTAGGCTGCTTTGTTTTATATCCTCATTTTTCATATCTTC